TTTTTAAAATAAAACATTAGTTAAAATAACTTACATTTTATGACTGGCTGCCAGTTAAATTCATCAACTTGCTTATCTCCTCAGGCTAGATTAGCAAGCAAGAAAATGTTTCTGGCAAGAAGAAGACCAAAGAACCTCTGCTGCAAAAAACACATCAGAATAAAATCTGATGTAATTAACATAAAATATTCAATATTTTCTTATACTCAAAAGAGGGGATTGTGATGAAAAAAATTATCTGGTAATAAAGTCATGATTTATTATCTGAAAATAAGATTTTCTCACACAAACTCATGGCCATCTAAAATCGCAAGATATGAGGGAGCATTTATTGTAAATAAGTGTTTGTAAAAGTTTGGATAAAATCAACATTTGAAAATGTGTTGTATTTATTCTGGTTGTATTTGCCTACTATTTATTTTCTTTTAACTAGAACATTTAAAAAATTTATTTTAACTTTTTTTATCTAACATTTTAGAAAGAATCTGAAAGAGCAAATACTTTATGCAGAACTGTTATTCTGAACAATCGAGGTCACATGACAGCAGTCAACATTTACACCATGGTTTGATGGTGTAAAAGTCCAGCGGACTGGCCAGATTGTACCAGATTGTACTGTTGCTCAATAACTTGTTGACAACACTGTTTGAGTAGAAAATGTGCAAGAAAAAAAATTTTTTTGTAAGGTTTAGTCATATTTCATAATAGATTCCATGATTTAGGTTGGAAAAACATAAATCATGTTCATGTGTTAGATTCATGTGTTAGTGATGCATTAAAATAAGAAAAAAACAAACTAAATGAACCTCTGTTGTGCATCTCTATTTGCCAGTTTCTCAATAAAAAAGGCAGAAAATGGGCTATCAGAGATGGAAAGTGTGTGTTATCAAGCCACCAGAGCATCAGTGAACAAAGAAATGAGTCTTACTTGAGGGTGAATTGTTCCACAGTGGAGTTGGGCATCAGGTAGAGCAGGATCTTCAGTGTTTCTCCAGGTTTGAGTGGTTTCTCTGGCAGCCTGAGGAACATGTTCTTGTCCAGCTGTTTGTCCACCAGCAGCTGCTCCTGACTGGCCTGGTAGAGGCTGATACTCCCGATGCGCAGCAGAGGGTGCTGTGATAGAGGTTCTCCCCTGGTCCCGCCGCCCCCTCTGTGACCCTCGCTGCACTCCCCGTCCAGATTGGGCTCGTGCAGCGTGTAGTACAGCTCAGCCTGCAGCGTCTCACTGGTTAATCCATCCAGGAGCCCGTCGCCAGAGCTTTTCCTGCGGCCCAGCGGTGCCACATTGGTGTTGAACCAGGACGGAGGCAGCTCCAGCTGCGCCAAGCACTTGGCCAGATTGCCCCTCATGCGGCAGGACGTCTTGATTTCCCGGACGTCCCTGAAGCCGTGCAGTCGGATGCATGGCAGGTTGTCCTGAGCCTTGAAGTCGTCCCAGTCACGGCCTGCAATGTAGAAGAACACCTGGACGATGGGGTTGTTGGAGAAGACCCTCGCCTGGACAATGAAGGCCCGCACCTTCCAGCCGACTGTCAGCTGGCCCGGGATGTCCAGAGGGCTGGCTGGCTGCAGCAGCTCCTTGGATAAAGCCTGGTCCTGGGCAAAAGGCCCAAAGCTTATGTTGATGGCGGGGAGGTCTTTTGTCTGGAAAACTACAAAACTCTCAGAGCGCTGCAGCGGATGTCCGGAGCTGCTGCTGCTGCTCCTGCTGCCACCGCCAACCGTTTGTCCTGTGATCTGGGCCTCCCGCAAGAAGAAAGCCAGTTGTGCATTGGACATTTTGAAGCTGGCAGGCAGATACACACTGGGTGGTGGAGGGCTGGCTGTCATCGCTGAGGCGCTGAACAGGACATCCGAGCTGGTTGGGGAGAGTTTACCTGCAAGAGCTGGGAAGAGAAAAACAAGGGTGATTAAACTTTCAACAGATTCTTTAAAGGTGACCTCTTGTGCTTCCTTGGGGATAGGTCAATGGGCTGTACAAAACATGTTCATTACATTGTTTGCACAAAAAGTTCATTTTCAGATGAGATTTTAGTCTGCTCAGTTCTGTCTATTTTGAGCTTTAAATCCAAATAAGATGCTGCTGACCATGCACCTATTCTTCACACTCACACGTTAAATAGATACAAAATAATACAACCATACTTCTTTGAAAAGCAGAAGTGGAGTCTGCTACACAACCAACAAGATGCAGCAAGTGGTTTCTGAATAGCAAGAACAAAACACTTGTCTTTTCAAGCAGCGAATACATCAATAAAACCAGCTGACCAGACATGCTGGAACTTTATTTAGTTTGCTAGGCAACAGGCAGAGTGCAATTTGGGTTGCTAGGTAACAGGACAGGGCGAGTTAACCACCAGGAGGTTATTTATTTATTTATTTTTAGTGACTTTTATTTGAGAGTGGTGATAAGTAAGTAATGAAAGAGGGGGAAGACATGTGGCAAAGGTCATCTGGCTGGGACTTGAACCTGAACCTGTGACCTCTGCGTCAAGGACTAAGGCCTCCATATGTGGGTTCTGCTTTACCCCTCCACCATGACAGCACCCCAACCAGGAGGTTCTTGAAACAACTTGTTTTCCAGACACCAAATAGCATCAACTTATTGGCAATAAATGACTATGTTTTTTTGTTGTTGTTGTTGTTTGCTTTTTTAAGCAATTGGGCTGCTGGAAGCACCCGAGACACAAAAGTATAACATGAAAAATGTGAATTTTGCTTAATAATTACTATGTAGATAGAGAATAGTTGACAAAAATGAATCAGGAAGAGAGACCTCTTTGTTGTGTCGGATGAGTGACAGAGTCAAACAGGTCAACTAATCAGATAATAATCTACTGCTGTCACACGTCCAACAAACAGTCTGGTTTATATTACTGAACTGTCAACAAGTCACACAAGGATAATTAAATTTAATATAAATTTGTATTCAAAATATTAGCAAAACAACAACAGGATGGTGTGAGTGTATTCCTCTATGAGGTCCCAGATGTTTTCTAAATAATAAACTTTTAGGGTATACCAGTTGCCGTTTTCTGGCCAATCAAGATCTTTAAAATGTTTGAATGTTTCCGATTTCGGCCGATACTGATTTATTTTTTATAAACATCAGATGTTGAAAGGTCACAATTCACCTTCAATGTTCCAATTTTATTTTATTGAAAAACACTGAATAGCAACTGTGGAACAATGCAAACTTGGCTAAACTTAGTTCTCTCAAATATAAATGAAATGTCAGAGCATTGCTTTCCAAACTACTATATTAACCAAAAAAATAAATAAATTATAAAAAAAGCAAAACTTGCACAACAGGTTGGATCACAGAGTTGTTTTTGAGCCTCTTCAAAGGCAGCATTTTGCCTTTACAAAATCATGAAGCTTGAGATTCATTGACAACAAACAAAACAATTTAAACCACCAATAAGGTGACTGGTGATTTAAGTTTTCCTTGCAGTACAAAAAGAAAGTATCCAAACACAGCAGTTTAAATGAAGATAAGATCGGTTTCACCCAAAATCAGAAATTGTGGATGATCAGTTGGTGCACGACTAGGAAAAACGTATCAAGATATACAGAAAAGAGTCTGAGCTCAGCAAAATGCTTTAAAATCAAAACTAAAACCAGAATATTGTGGACGAAAAATCTAAAAACTAATCCTTGATTTCTTGCTATTTTGGCTTTTTTTCTTCAGCCATTCATCAGCTGTAGGTCAACAAAACAAGTTCTACAGCACAGATGGGACATATGGACTTAAAGTTTAACAGAATATTTTGTGGTATTTACTGCCTTAGTGATAAAAGCAATGACAAAAGGGGATAAAAAGTAATGGGTTTTCATTTTAATAGATAATTAATTACTTAATCATAAGTACTGTTTTTGGGGGAAAAAAAAAAAAAAAAAAGATCAAAAACAAACCAGCACAGAACATCTTAGAGATAACTACAGGGCCATTACAATAAACATTTTCTCACTGAAGAACAAGCAATGACTTAAAACAGGTATATTTTGATACTCTCAAAGAGTGGGAAAAAAGGCCAAACTAATAATTTATGTCAAGATGAGTATGTGGAGTTTATCAGTTTCACAATAAAACTAGAATTTCTCATTTCTATACTATTGCTAAGTGGCACAATAATCGAAATTCCATGGTTACCTATGAGTGCAGTAATAATTTGAAAACACCTTTGCTTAGCCAAGCTATCAGCAAGAAGCCCCAATCAATTAAACAGCAGCATTTGCTGAAAAGGTTTAGTTTTCCAAATCACTCATTGACAGGTCAAATGAAAAACTGGTTCTAGGGGACGTAGGCAGTCCAACAGGTGACCATGTTTAAGTTAAAGTAGTCTGAAGCATGGTGGTTTAGCCATCATGATACAGAGATGTTTCTAATGCTATTCTACCAGGAATACATGACTTATATGAAGTTATCGCCTTTTGCTAAGCAAGAAATGCTCTTCAAATGGGTGTTTTCACAAGACGACCACCCAACAGAGACCAGTAAACAAGCAGCATCTTGGTTCAAGACCAGCAACATTGATGTTAGGGAGTGACCAGCCAAAGCCCTCGACCTTAACCCAATACATAATTCATGATGTAACATCAGACATCCTGTTTCTGAAGAGAAGTCAGGACATGCACAGACACTGTGGTCCAATCATCCTGGATCAGGAAGCCTGTTCACAAGAGTAAGAAGTCGGTCGACTTCAGACAACAGTTGCGAAGAAGTCCTCAGAGACTGTGCTTTTACAACTAATTATTAGTTCGGTGAGTGACGACAAAGCCAAATATTTGTAAGCAGCCCATTATTAAATTCAGCCATGTTTTGATCTGGAACAGACTTGGCAGTGTCCCCAAAAGCATTGTACGGAAACAAAAGCCTTGAAGGTTTTTAAGCTTTACTTACTTTTTTAAAAAAAACACACAAATATTATTTTTTCAACCAACTGTACATAATACACTAGCCTTAAGTCACAAAGTCAGAATCCTTCATTTTCAAACACCATTACCCTACAATTGTTGAGCGAATAAAGTAAGGTAAATAAACTTAAGAGTGAAAGAAAGAAAATGAGACATACTTATGAGAATTATCCAGAGTTGAGCACAAACACACAGTTGCCTGTCCCCATAGTCCAAATCAGAGATTAAAAGTCCCATATTCCAAGTGGTTTTATCATTGAAATCTCATCCTTTAAATCTAAATTCAAATTTAAAACCAAATCAAAGGTGTCCTTTTGAAGTAAATCCTCTTCCAAAGCGGTGTTACTCCATGTAAATCTGTTGGCTCTCTTAAAAATAAGAAATCCTTGTAGAATAAAGAATGAATGAGTGAACAAAACAGCTGAAAGCGCCGGCAGTCCTTCACTCGCTCCTGTCCTTGCTGCCAGCTACACAGAGCTCCTTAAACTTGTGCTTCTCTTGACGCCTTGAAGCTAACTCTCTGTTAAAGAGTGGCTCAGCCCCACACGGCAGCGCGGCGAGTCCCAGACTGTGCATGGCTCCGGGACAGACCCCGACAGACAAGCTGAGCCTCCTCCCGGTTGGTGGGCTGTACGAGGACTATAGACAAAGCCTCTGACGCTAGCCACCCCCCTTCCCAACTCTCACCCCCTCTACATCCCCACATCTCGCCACACCTAGTCTCCAGTCTATAATCACTGTGTTAGCTCTGGGTGATAGTCAGGACCCGCAGCCCTCTGAGGATTCAACTTACACCACACACAAGAAACACACTCCTGCCCGATTTATCTTCTCCCTCTCTGGCTCTCTGAACGTGTTCAGGCAGACTCATGTGAGCCAGAGAGAGAAAAAGAGGTGGGGGATGGATGTTTTGCTTGAATGCCTTAAGGCAAAGAGAGAGAGAGAGAGTTGAAGAGAGAGAAAGGAGTGAGGAGGAGAAGTGGTAAAGCAGGGATTAGATAAAGGTTATTGATGAATTAGCTTAGATATGCTCCTCCTTTCTCATACGTCGACCCCCCTTCAGAATGCTCCGGCCTCATGAGAACAAGGGGTTACCGGCACAGGGGGAGGGGTGTACACACTGCCATGCTGCCTCACTCACATGTGCCTGGAATTCCCATAGTGAAAGAGGAATCCACGGACCTGTGTGTGTTGGAGGGGGGTCTATAAGCTGAAAGGGAGCAACAAAAGACGGACACTTACACCCATGGAGGAGACCCGACAGAGGCTGTCTCCTTATTACCCCAAAGCTCTCTAAATCACAGGAATGTGTGCTCTCGTCTCGGTCGACTGACAAATCCACAACGTCCCACTCCAGAAGACATCCCACCGAGTCGTGCTCTGGGGTCCGCCATACAAAGCTCCCACCAGTGCTGCTGCATACTTTACAAGCCACACAACAACATAAAACTCAGACTCCACCACTAATCCGTGCCTCAGGAAAGGATCAAATATGTGCCTCACGTTTCAGGATACACACACTGTCTGCCTGCCAACTCCAATAATCAAAGTGGTGTATTTTTACCTACCCGCTGCTAAAGGTCTATATGATATCACTGCCGTGTTTAAACAGCGTTGCTACTTTGCTTTATTCCTCTCACTGTCTTGAGGTGGATGTAGCCTTCAGCTCTGACAAAACCTGAATCCCCAGATCTCCTGGCTCTTTAGCTACCTGTGAGGTGCCCTTGAGCAAGGCACTTCAGGGAGAGCATTTTTGAAAGGCTGAAAAACACCTGCTGCAGGTGAAATTTTTTTTTTTTTTTTTTTGTTAATGGGAGGGCAAAGGAAACTCAAGCTAGCACCTCATTATACAGCTCTTTTGGTACGAGTGACATTTACTGAACAGTGATTTGACAGGAAGAGAGAAGGGGAAGGCTGGGAATCGAACCAAAGACAAAGCCTCTGCATATGGTGTGCCTGCTCGGCCAAC